GCCAACACTCTTGTGTTCGAATTCCAATCGCTGTGTGAGCTGTATTGGAATACGACACAGCTTGGAATTAGAACACTATTGAATATTCAACACTACTTAATTAGGCTTTTAATTAAGAGTTGTTAAGCTTTTAATTAAGAAAATTTTAATTTTTGCACACAGTGCGGATGAGCTGTGGCTCCCGATCTCTGCCGCATCTACGTCGTGGGGGTACCCTGGCCCGCGCGTTGGCCGATGGCCCGATTACCCGGCATTCGCGTTGCCCAGGCCAAACGGCAGAGGCCCCCCACCCAGATCGCTACCGGACGGAGTCACGGAGGCTCCTTCACTTTTTTCTGCTAAGGGCAGGGGAACCTCGGCCTCCTCTTCCTCCTACCCACATCTTTGGCCGCCTATCTTCCTTGGGGCTCCTTGTGCCCTGCTCTCCTCCCATCTCTTCTTCCTGCTCATTCTTCTTCTCCTGACCCAGGGTATACACCCCAACCCTGGCCTGCACCCCCCCTGCTCAGTCTGCTCCCTACCAGTCATATGGCGTGGACATTCGTTCTGGTGCACCGGGTGCAGTGCCCATATCCATAAGGGATGCTCCGGCCTACGCTACATTAGACTCTACACTGGAGATTGTATCTGCCCTACAATCAAAGTGGCAAACCAGAGCTTTTTTAGAATCAGTTCATTTTTAATTTCCTCATTTACTCAAGATTTAAGCCAATTTCTGAAGTATGATAATGCTGGTATCCATGACACTTTACTGGTTTATTTATAGGACTCAAAAATGAACTTGAGGGAGAGTCGAAAAAACTCTCTGCTTTGCCACTATGCTACAATACTACGTGCAGACGGTCTGTCCCGTCCCCAGCCAGACCCTCCTCCCCCTGTCTCTTATACACATCTAGATGTGTATAAGAGACAGGTTTCTGCCCCTCTGGGTGACCGCCCTATGAAAGCCTCGATACAGTCAAGGTTCGGCCATCTTGTCACACCACTCTTGACAAATGGTATCCTGCCTGCCGGGACATATGGAGAAGCCAAGCAGTCTCTCCGCAGGGAGATTACCTCCCCCGTGGCGGCGACTGCCGCCATAAACGCTGTCCTTGCTGCTCGCCACCGCCGATTACTTCAGTGGAGACCTCACTCCCTTGCCCCTACCGCTCAGCATTATCCCAGCTCCGCTCGGGATACTGCAGCTCCCTGGCGTCCTATTCCGCCAGGATCGGACGCTCCCCTAGCTCCACCTGCCCGGAGTGCGGGGATCCCCACCAATCTGTTCAGCACCTCTTCGTCTGCCCCGCCTTTCCCACGTCTCTCAGCGTCTCCTCACTGTGGGACAGCCCCGTGGAGGCAGCGGCATTCCTGGCCACCCTCCCTGCCTTCGCCCACCTCCCTCCTCTTCTGGTTCCGGCCCTCCGCCCACCACCAGAGCCTCCCCCCCGGCGAGCGTGATGGTCGCAACCAACCACAACAATAACATAAGCTGTGTGTGTCTAATTCCAAGCTGTGTTGGAATTAGTTTTTATGTATCTAAAACCATCTCTTAACTTAATCATCTATTAATTTATTTACCACTTGAAATCAGCAAATGCAAGTATACGTGAAGGATTCCTAATACATTCACTAATTCACAGACTTATTTAAAAGTCTCAAACCATAATATTCTTTCTACACAAACAGTTTATCACTATATTGGTAGAGTAAGGTCAACTATCAACTTTGACAACTTTTTAGATGTTCTAACTGGGTGACGTGCACTGTCTCTTTTTGGATCTCAACATTTTCCCCCCAGACGGCCCAGACCTAGTGTTTTGGCAATAGTATAGCGCACAATAGTAGGACGTCACTATTTCAACCATCAATGAATGCGTGGAACTAAGACAAACCTTAATATAAAGGAAAAAAGTCGAGAAGTGTCAGAATTACCCACAATGTCAGAATATTCCGCGTTTACCCTATTACAATGTTGGCTAATAGCCAATTCTTAACAAGCCAACACGATTGAAGATTTTGACCAAAATTGTCACAAGTTGCAGCGCAGCGGGTCATAAACCCTTAACTCTGGCTCTAATTTAGGTGACTAGTTACTGTGAGCGTGAAGAATGAAACACAAGACATATTTTTTCAAGTCAATGGAAAGAAAAAATGTGCTATTTGGCAGAATAATGTTTCTTTTATATATACTGGAAGCTGTCTGGAACCTGTTTATGCATTCAATTATGGAAGACCATTTCATTCAGGGTTTGTACCGGTATTTAGAACAGAAATTCCATGATTCTCCATGACCAATATAATTTTCCAAGGCTAGTAAATGAAAGGTTTAACATGACTGAAAGACTAAATGTGCAGTGTGCATTTTCTATCATCTCCTTCAGTTGATGAATAGCAAACATGTATAATGTAAATGCATAGAACAGGCACACACAGAGGAACAGAAATGACACAAATCTGAAAATCAAGCCCACACTTTTATTTTATGAATTCAATAGTGTCAAATCACAACAAATATTAAGTAATGCACTGACAACTGACAAGATTGTTGGTACATGATAATGTCTGGTCTATACAGTTCAGAACACTCTTCAACACTTGAACACCACTATGCTGTGCTTACGCACTATGCTAACATTCAACTGGCAGCTATTTCATCATCTTTTTCTTTAGTGTTCAGTTCAAGAGTGTCTAGCTTTGTTTTCAAAGATTGCCTCATGGCATTGAATTTTGCAAAAATTTTCAAATCCCCCTTTCTCTCCATTGCTTCAGCACATTCATCTGCTGCTGTCTCAAGCGCCTTGATGCCCTCCTCCGTATGCATTTTCTTCTTTTTCAGTTTATCTAGCTCATCCAACAGAGCCTTCCTCTTCTGGGTTTTCAACCACAGCATGCAGGGCAACCACATGATTACTCATACTAGACCCATTTCTGATCGAAAATATGATCCTCATACAGTAAATTTCACATTCACTTTAAATTAAATCATTCAGTCTCCCAGTAAATTAGAGAAGAAAATAGATAAACTCATCAAATTATTCACCAGAGAAACCACCGTATGTTTTTTCATGTTGTGTGTCATGATTTCCTTGTTGAGTGAAAACCCTCTTTCAACCATGGCTTGGCCATGAGACAGGAGCATGAGCATCTGCACTACATTCCAGAGCTTCTTGTAGGTGCTCTTTGACAGAATGGCATGCTGTAGGCTTTCTGGGTTTTCAATCACAGCATGCAGGGCAACCACATGATTACTCATACTAGACCCATTTCTGATCGAAAATATGATCCTCATACAGTAAATTTCACATTCACTTTAAATTAAATCATTCAGTCTCCCAGTAAATTAGAGAAGAAAATAGATAAACTCATCAAATTATTCACCAGAGAAACCACCGTATGTTTTTTCATGTTGTGTGTCATGATTTCCTTGTTGAGTGAAAACCCTCTTTCAACCATGGCTTGGCCATGAGACAGGAGCATGAGCATCTGCACTACATTCCAGAGCTTCTTGTAGGTGCTCTTTGACAGAATGGCATGCTGTAGGCGGAGAGGTTTCAACTATATCTGACTCCGCTCAACATTTCATCTCTGGTTTGGTTTAGCCATGGGGTGAAGGAAACTGAAACACGGAGCATGATTGACAAGAAAATATAAACACAAAAGAAATGAAGCGTACAAACATAAACAAAGAAAAATAAAAAGTGGGGTGCATAAGTGACAGACTTGAGTGTCTTGCCCAAACCAAGAACCCTGAAATAACACAAGAAATTAGCTTGTTTAAAAAAAAAGGTAAATTAAAGAACCTTGAAAAAAACATCATTAGCGCAATAATTATGAACAAATATCTCATTACTGATTGACTAGCATTCAAATGCAAAACAAGATTAAATAACATTATCAAATCAACTTAAGTATCAAAACTATTATACAATCAAGCAAGTGGTATATAGAATTATATATCCATCAGACTGAGGCTAATTACAGACGAAGCTCTGATGATCATCAGCCAAACTACTGTTTGTTGCAACCCAATCATTGTTAACTCAAACAGTGGTGACAGGAGGACTCACCAGGTCAACCCCTGTGCAAAGCTTCAGAATGCTAGTCAGCCAATAGAAAAAAGTGGGGGGGGAATCAAATTTTTTTTGAAAAATGCCCACTTCACCCACAAAAATTAGAATTTCGAAAAACAACAAAGACCAATCGATAGATAGGGTCCTTACGCATCGAATGATATGTCTCAGTGTTGTAGCTTGAAAATCCTAAGAGGCAATAGATTTCTACAGTACCCCCTTTTTGGCTGTTTTCAAAGAATTTCATGTTTTCTTTCATTTTTTTTTATTCACACGAACATAAAAGTCTTAGATTTATTTTTTTTACATATGTGTACCAAGTTTCAAAGTGATCCATCTGTAAATAACCAAAACAAAATTTCCACAAGAAATAGGAAATTTCCATTGGAAATTTAAAATTTTATTTTCCAGCCATTTCCATTACCTATGCAGAAATGGCTGCTATATTTTGGGATGAGATAGGCAAATTTTGTCAATCGCATTTTCAAGCCGACACCTGTGCGCAACTTTTATGTAAGTAAAATTTTTTAATGCAGCAAATATTTTTTTGCTCCAGACATTAGTAGAGGTACTTTTCCAAAATCGCACTTTTTACACTTTTTCAGCGATTTTTTAGAGATACTAAATGTATGATTTCTTAACTAGCTTTATACATAATAGATATTAAAAATGTTGAAGTTTCCGCCACTATTTTTAGTTTTACAATATTTTGATTAGGTAGTTTAGCTGCTACAACATTTCTACAAAATGTGGGATGCGCATCCTGATTTACTCTGCCTGTCCCTTATTACCCTGTTTGACAGAATAAATGTAGAAGGAATGAAATTTTCATAAATATCTAATAACTGTTACATCATACTGATGAGATCACAAATTTAAAATTTAACCAAAATATATTTTCTTTGTAACCATGTGATTTCAATTAAAAATTTTAATTTTACAATGTTGCGCAACTCAGCATTCATTTAAATACTTCATTTGTCTCTTATAGCATAGCAAGAAATGCTATCATGTAACCTTTCTAAAAATTACAAATAGAAATTGTAAGAGGTTGAATAGATAATATGAAATGTGCCTAATTGGAAGGATTTCATATATTTGTTGTGATATTCCATACTAATTTCACAAGATGCCTCTCATTAAATTTGCCAGCATAGCTTCTTTCACATCAGAAGATCTGGTGAGTTGCTGAGAAGGTTGAAGTAATTGAATCATGAATACATATATGAATATTCAATATTGCTATGGTTAGATGGAAGTAGTTCTCTAATGCAAATTTGGTTGAAGAATAGTGTGATTCTTAGAACCAGTTTTTCTACTCTTCCACTCAATTGAGCAGATTTTTTGTAATATATGTATGTACATATATAAATCATATTTTTAAATGATGAGGTGAATTTTAATTGAAAGATTTGTCATTGAGAGAACATCATTTTTAATCACTATGATTTCAACCATTTTCAGAATCACCCTGCTGACAACTTGCTGAGATCACAGACATACCGGAAGTGGAGGATAGCTCCAACTGAATGCGGGAAGCCTGCGTCTGTCACCATAAAACTGGAAAAACTCTCTACAATCACTGCAGTTGATATTGGCAATGATGGCTGTGCATTTGTTGAAGTTCTTGTTGCAAGAGATGATAATAATTTTGAGGTTTGTTTTATACTAGTATTAAATTAATACATTAGTAGAATATCAAATTTCGAAGTCAAAACTTTTCTCCTGCTCAAATAGTTATCTAAAAATTTTCTGCTTACAAGTGTTTAATGTATTTTAGGATTAATTATATGAAAAGCTGATGTCAAATGTTTCTTCAGATTATAGATAGTAAATTGAAAATTCTGTCCAAAATTTACCTGAAAATAGGGGTATTGATTAAAATATCTTGAGTATAAAAATCTGTGTCTTAAAATTTTAGGGATTGCTAAATTGTCAAAGCAAGTTGGCAATTAAAGCTCAAATATCATCAAAGCAAATATTATTCCAGTTTGTTTTCTTTCTGGCATTTTTTTTCTTTCTGAATATGATCTGTAAAAATTGTAAAATTGAGGCCAATATTCAAAAGCCTGAAATCCAGGAAAGATTCATTATGAATTTCGTCTTCCATATACAGTATATATACATATACTCAAATAAATATTATTTAAGTTTTTTTAAATAATGTTTCTATAACTATTAAAATTTCCTACATGGATCCAAATACCATAATCAAAGATTGGTAACAAATTTAAATATTGAAGAAGTTATTTCTCATTTTAATTTTTTAATTAATTTCTTATTGATTTATGGACACTCAGTACTAGTTTGAATAAAATTTCATCACTTTTTCAGGTCTTGCTGCCAGCTTCATCCTTCATGTCTCTACTTCAATCCAGGAATGGCACAGACATGAACAGAGTGCGCATGTTCACAGCTCACCACTTGAATAAGAATATTTCCAGCCAAAAATGGAACACTGTGAAGCTGGTATGCACTCAGCCTTTCAACAAAATGAATGCTTTTGGACTAACATTTGTGACTCTCACTACAGATGAACAGCAACCTGAACAGAAGCCTGCTCCTCAGCAGGTATGTGTTTATTATAATTTATAAGTTATCATTTTTCTGAGATGAATATTATAATATCATTTGAATGATTGCATAACTTAGCTATAAAGCACCTATTATGCATAGGTAATATCTTCATATATGCTTTATTACGAGCAATTTTATTTGGAATACTGTGAAAATTTAGTGTTTAATTTCAGAGTTGTTGAACGCTTTGAATACCTACTTTTTTGCACAAAACAAAACAGCAAATTCCATGTAAGAAGCCTGAAATTAGTTCATGCATACCTGCTCAATGATGAGTAGTTACTTTTTATCTGAAAAATGAAGATGCTTTTACACTTTTTACTGTATGTTTTGCAGGACAGTACTTCCCCTGGAATACTTCAGTTAAAAGAAGCTGTTTGTGATGATGCTGGGACTTCCAAATCAAGCATAAACATTGGCAGCTTTTTTGCTAAAAGGAAGAAGCTCGAATCTGATGCAACTGATGATAAATTCAATGGTAATTCAAGATTTTCAATATGCTTTTGAATGCTATTAAGTCTGTCTATTTATATTATCATTAATGAAAATGTATGAAAGTTGGGATATTTTTCAGTTTTTCACAAAGCTGGCTTGTATTGTGTTAAGGATGAATGATGTATTCGTAACTTATCTAATTTCTTAAGATGAGGCAGATACTCCAAAATATTATACTATCAAAAATTTATACCATTTCTTTGTTGAAATTCGTGAGTTTTTGCACATCAAACTTTTATTGTACTTCATCTGTTCTCCAAGTTTCCTAGTTGATTTTCTTTTACTGTGCTTAACAGGTAAAGACTCTCAAGAAGCCATTCCTCTTTCCAAGAAGGCTAGAAGCGAAGAAAGCCAAGGCTCTTTGTCCAGGCAATCAACTTCTACTCTACGAAATCCAGTAAAAATTAATACAGCTCTTGAGAAGAACAGTTTGAGTCATTCTTCTTCTGCTGCAACTACAAGGGCACCCAATTCTTCAGAGAAACAGAACCCTTCTGTTCATGATAAAGCTTCTAGTCGAACTGTTGCAAATCCAAGTGTTGCCAAAATGAAACCTACTACAACTTCATCTCAATCTCCTGCGAGTGATAAAGAGTACAAGGCACGTCAACCTACGCATCTTGACACTCCTTCCTCATCTGATGTACCGTTTAGATCAATTTTACGAGGAGTTGTATACACAATGAGTGGATATAAAAACCCCCAACGCTCGAAGCTGCGAGATAAAATGGCTGACATGGGAGCATCATACCGGCCTGACTGGACTGATGACTGCACACACCTAATGTTTGTGACCATAATTTTAGTATGTTTACCGGATAATTTAAAAAATCTTACTTAGCATTCATGTTTCAAAACTATGAAATCTTGTTCCCTCATTGAATCAACTGATAGATTGATGATAATACGAGTTTATATGAACCAAGTTTTATTGTTCTGCTGGTGGTGGTCTTTCAATGAATCTGTTTAGCCTGAACTAGTACTTCAAAAGTGAGAATCCTCTTAATCAATAATTAACTGATACGATCTTTTTATTCCAGATGTGCCTTCATTAACACGCCAAAGTATCGAGCTGTGAGGGGCAAAGGGCACATTGTCACACACCGATGGATTGAAGAATGTGCGCTCTTCAAAAAGAAGATGCCATTGAAAAAGTTTGTATTTGGCATCAAGTACTCGCCTCTCACTATCATTTGCATTCACTTTTCATGGGAACATTATATCCGGTAAATTTGTAGCCCAGTGACACAAAGGTAAATGATTGATTCATTTTTTGACAGATATTTACTTGATCCCGAAGACGAAGACTGCCTGAACTCAACCAGTGCCCGTGAGACAAGTTCATCTCCTAAAACTAAGGTCTCCCCCAGCCCTCCTAACTCTGCTGGTCCAAGTCCGACGCCCCTTGCTGTAGCCAAGCAATCTTCTGCAGTCAGGACAGCTCCCTCTCCTACTGAAGGTTGTACAAGTAGTGAGATTTTTCAAACTGTGTGCAATCATTGAAAAATTAGATTCATCTACCTTGCTTTTTTCTTCCGTGGAATCGTTCAGAATTTTGAGGAATTGTTTTAATCACTTATATATTCCTAAGGAATCTGCTTATCATGAATGCTGGTTTCTTACTTTTTGTAATTGACTGATTAAGGAATTCACACAAGTCTATCTTCGCGCCTTCTGAGCTTTTATTACTTATATGGTCTGGACTAATCACCGTTAAAAATGCCTGTACAGAGTCGGCAGATTCAACACAAAGCAATCGTCAAGAAGATACCCTTACTGAGCAAGACAATTTGGAGGACGACAGCCTGCACGGAGATGCATCAGATGAAGAAGACACTGATGATGAAATTCAAAGGTACGGTTCAGCTGATCAGTTCCAGAAGATTAGGGAAGGTGATATTTATTCATGATTTTGGTCTTATTCTTCTATTGTATTTCGTGTACTTTTTTGTAATTTTTCTGGTAGCATCGAGGGCTTTATGGTCAAGAATTGTATCTCCTTTTATTCACTTTTTGAATATGCTAAGAATATCTTGAGAACCCTGCAGTGTATGCTGAAATAAGTTGAAAATAAATTCAAGTATATATGAATACTTGAATTTCTAGTTCTATCGTGACTGCTGTTTCAGAGCAATGGGTGGACGCAGTGAAACGAAAAATGGTCAGCCAGCAGCGTCATCCGACTGTCCTAATGACGTCCTTGGTCGTGAGACTTCGTCGCATGTGAAATGCAACAGCTCTTCACCGAGTGGGAAAGAAGTATTTCTGAGATGAATATTATAATATCATTTGAATGATTGCATAACTTGGCTATAAAGCACCTATTATGCATAGGTAATATCTTCATATAAGCTTTATCATTGGCAATTTTATTTGGAATACTGTGAAAATTTATCATAAAATTTCAGAGTTGTGGAAAGCTTTGAATACTTTTTGCAGTTTGCACAAAACTAATCAGCAAATTCCATGTAAGAAGCCTGAAGTTTGTTCATGCATACTCAATGATGAGTAGTTACTTTTTATCTGAAAAATGAAAATGCTTTTACACATTGTAAGTACTGTATGTTTTACAGGACAGTACTTCCCATGGAATACTTCAGTTAAAAGAAGCTGTTTGTGATGAAACTGGGACTTCCAAATCAAGCATAAACATTGGCAGCTTTTTCGCTAAAAGGAAGAAGCTCGAATCTGATGCAACTGATAATAAATTCAATTGTAATTCAAGATTGTCAATATGCTTTTGAATTCTATTAACTTTGTGTAATTATATTATCATTATTAAAAATGTATGCCAGTTAGGTTATTTTTCAGTTTTTCACAAAGTTGGCTTGTATTGTGTTCTTGATGAATGATGTATTTGTTATTTAGCTAGTTTCTTAGGATGGGGCAAATACTCCAAAAATTTATACCATAAAAATTTATACCATTTCTTTTTTTTTTAAATTCGTGAGTATTTGCAGATCAAACTTTTTTTATTGTACTTCATCTGTTCTCCAAGGTTCCTAGTTGATTTCCTTTTACTGTGCTCAACAGGTAAAGACTCTCAAGAAGCCATTCCTCTTTCCAAGAAGGCTAGAAGCGAAGAAAGCAAAGGCTCTTTGTCCAGGCAATCTACTTCTACTCTACGAAATCCAGTAAAAATTAATAGAGCTCCTGAGAAGAACAGTTTGAGTCATTCTTCTCCTGCTGCAACTACAAGGGCACCCAATTCTTCAGAGAAACAGAACCCTTCTGTTCATGATAAAGCATCTAGTCGAACTGTTGCAAGTCCAAGTGTTGCCAAAATGAAACCTACTACAACTTCATCTCAATCTCCTGCAAGTGATAAAGAGTACAAGGCACGTCAACCTACGCATCTTGACACTCCTTCCTCATCTGATGTACCGTTTAGATCAATTTTACGAGGAGTTATATACACAATGAGTGGATATAAAAACCCCCAACGCTCGAAGCTGCGAGATAAAATGGCTGACATGGGAGCATCATACAGGCCTGACTGGACTGATGACTGCACACACCTCATGTTTGTGACCATAATTTTAGTATGTTTACTGGATGATTTAAAAAATCTTACTTAGCATTCATGTTTCAAAACTATGAGATCTTGTTCCCTCATTGAATCAACTGATAGATTGATGATAATACGAGTTTATATGAACCAAGTTTTATTGTTCTGCTGGTGGTGGTCTTTCAGTGAATCTGTTTAGCCTGAACTAGTACTTCAAAAGTGAGAATCCTCTTAATCAATAATTAACTGATACAATCTCTTTATTCCAGATGTGCCTTCACTAACACGCCAAAGTATCGAGCTGTGAGGGGCAAAGGGCACATAGTCACACACCGATGGATTGAAGAATGTGCGCTCTTCAAAAAGAAGATGCCACTGAAAAAGTTTGTATTTGGCATCGAGTACTCGCCTCTCACTATCATTTGCATTTATTTTTTTCATGGGAACAATATATCCGGTAAACTCGTAGCCCAGTGACACAAAGGTAAATGATTGATTCCTTTCTTGACAGATATTTACTTGATCCTGAGGATGAAGACTGCCTGAACTCAAGCAGTGCCCGTGAGACAAGTTCACCTCCTAAGACTAAGGTCTCCCACAGTCCCCCCAACTCTGCCGGCCCAAGTCTGACGCCCCTCTCTGTAGCCAAGCAATCTTCTGCAGTCAGGACAGCTCCCTCTCCTACTGAAGGTTGTACAAGTAGTGAGCTTTTTCAAACAGTGTGCAATCATTGAAAAATTAGATTCATCTACCTTGCTTTTTTCTTCTCTTTCTTGACAGATATTTACTTGATCCTGAGGATGAAGACTGCCTCAACTCAAGCAGTGTCCGTGACACAAGTTCATCTCCTAAGACTAAGGCCTCCCCGAGTCCCCCTAACTCTGCCGACCCAAGTCCGACGCCCCTCTCTGTAGCCAAGCAATCTTCTGCAGTCAGGACTGCTGCCTCTCCTACTGAAGGTTGTACAAGTAGTGAGCTTTTTCGAACAGTGTGCAACCCTCGCAAGATTAGATTCATCTACCTTGCTTTATTCTTCCGTAAAATGGTTCAGAATTTTGAGGAATTGTTTTAATCACATATTTTCCCAAGGAATCTGCTTATCATGAATGCTATTTTTAGCGCATTTTCTCATTTATGAAAAAAAGCACCATTGTGCTCGCCATATCCGTCCTGTCCGTCCGTCTGTCTGTCCGTCCGTCCGTGACTTTATGTTTTCGTCGACGAGAAAATGCGCTCTCTGTCACTCACTGCAGTGAGTACTGAGTTATATATTTTTTACTTTTTGTTATCGACTGATTAACGAATTCATTCAAGTCTATCTTCGCGCCTTCTGACCTTTTTTAATTTTAAGTGGTCTTGACTAATCACCGTTAAAAATGCCTGTACAGAGTCTGCAGATTCAACACAAAGCAATCGTCACGAAGATACCCTCACTGAGCCAGAGAATTTGGAGGACGGCAGCCTGCACGGAGATGCATCAGATGAAGAAGACACTGATGATGAAATTCAAAGGTACGGTTCAGCCGATCAGTTCCAGATTATTATGACTGGTGATATTTATTCACGATTTGGTCTTATTCTTCTATTCTATTTCGTGTACTTTTTCTGGTAGCATGGAAGGCTTTATGCTCAAGAATTGTATCTCCTCATATTTACATTTTTGAATATGCTAAGAATATCGTGAGAACCCTGGAGTGTATGCTCAAATAAGTAGAAAATAAATTCAAGTGTATTAGAAAACTTTTATTTCTAGTTCTATCCAGACTACTGTTTCAGAGCAATGGGTGGACGCAGTGCAACGAAAAATGGTCAGTCAGCAGCGTCATCCGACTGTCCTAATGACGTCCTTGGTCGTGAGACTTCGTCGCATGTGAAATGCAACAGCTCTTCACCGAGTGGGAAAGAAGTAACGTACGAGAAGAATGGTTCTTCGTCTCCCATTGACGCATATTCTGCTGACACTGATGAAGACGAAGGATCTTCGCCCCTTCGCCAGCAGGTGTATTAATTTTCTTTTACATTTTGAATGCATGTAATTTATATTGCAGTGATGATCATTTTAACAACGTCGTTAAATATTTCAAAAATTTACCATTATTGGCATTAGCGTCTTGCATAATATTGTTGTGATCATCATTCCAGCTGCGTAATTGTTATCAGTATCACACCAGTAATTGGTTACTTAGATCTTAGAGTTATGTTTCATAAGAAATCTCATCAATCAATCATAGGTCTTTTAGTAGTCATGCTAGCTCGAATTCTTTGTTCAATAGTTCAAATTCTCGCTTCAATTGAATTCTCAATTTTAGGTTTAATAGTTCTTCAGATGATATTACCAGATAAAGGATTTTAAAATTTAAATTTAATTGACCACAAGCTAACTTATCAAACAGAGTATGTATCCAAATCTGCAAAATTGTGGAATATAGTTTTGATTTAAAAATTATCGACCAAAAGTTGGGTAATAATTGTTCTGTTTGTGCATTAATTTTATTATATCGTTGCAAATTTGACTCGCAGATAGACACATCGCAGCTGGACTTGCCTCTTCTGCCAGATATATTTTCGGGCGAACATTTTTTCATCCACAGAAGTTGCCACGATCCGGCCGACGTTAAGCGCTATATTATCGCTTTTAACGGGTGCGTGGCTCGTGTTTATATTACAGATAACATTTGTAAAGTTATTCTTATTTGATGCAGGGTTTTTGAGGATCAGAGGTCTTCTTGAGAATCACCTTATTTTTTTTTAAACCTTTCAAATCTTAAAACAATTGAAGTCGCCTAATTGTTAAAAGCAACAAATTTACAATAAGAATTACTCTCTGATTAACAAAACCAGCGTTAAATAATAACTCCAGCCTAATTATACCGGCATTCTCATTTATAAAAATATTTCCCACTTAGTGACTTATATGGCACTGAAAAGTACTATAAAATGAATCGCAAAAACTTTATATTACCATTACATACTGACCACCTAGACTTCCCTCATCATGGGTTTCGTTCCTGTTTCAGACACGTGAGCGACTACATGAGCAGCTGCGTTAATTTCATCGTTGCGGACGCCAAGTGGGATAAAACTTTCGATGAGGTAAGTGACGCTTGTATTTAGTTTTATTGAACTTGTTAGTATTATTGAATTCAGCGCCCTTCATAGCCAGCACCATGTGAATAATTCAAAACATTGCCTCGCATGAAGATAAAAAAGTTTACATGAACGATATCTTTCGAGTCACGCACATTGTGCAGCTAACAAAGAGAAGTTGAAACAAATTTTGGTTTCTGATTAGTGTAGTTAAAGAAGTTTAGTTGGATAGGCGAGTTATTTTTTTTTTAAAGTCATAGAACAAATTCGCTAGAAATAGAATAAATAATAATTACCCGGCGCGATAAGTTTTTTCTTGCATTGCGCTGTTAATCAATTAACGTTAATCGGTTGACATATAATTTTTACTATTACTTTGACATCGTCTTCATCTATAAACCTATTAGTTTTATGACAAAACGTTGAGGTGCAAAATAACACACGAATTTGACGTGCAGGTGACGCAGGAAAACCAGGAAGTTCGGTTCGTGAAGCCGTCGTGGATCTGGCGTTGCGTTGACGCCAGTTCCCGCGCGCCCCTTGAGCCTCATCTCATCACCAGCAAGCGATCGTAATAGCTCCTACCTGTCAGCCTCGCCCCAGTGCTCACAAGTCTTGCATTGTTTGGTCCTCTCATTTACATTTTTTGGGGAAAGTATATTCTTCTGAATTTTAAAGCCGTTTTGGAATGATACTTAATCTTACCTGCGCGCCGCGCCATGGCAGACACAAGTCTTTTGAAAAAAGTTGTTAGTCTTATCTATATCAATATACGTTTGAAAGAACAATATTCTGAATTTTAGAGCCGCATTTAAATAATATACTATCCTACCTACGTGCCCTGCTTTAGCACTCATAAATCCTTTACGTCATTTGGTACATTAATTTCGAAAGTATTTTTCTGGAGTCATTATATATTAAGTCCTTATTCAATAATTACTAATGCGTTGTACCCAGTGCACTTCTAGTGTATTCTTAGAGCTGCTTTCAAATTATTAGTTTATCAAGTAGTCAAGTTTCTCAGATGATACATTAGAAAAGCACATTTACTAGATGTTTTATAACTGCAGCTGTGCACATGACTAGTTGTGTCGCCTCACAGTTATATAGAGGAAGCTGTTCGCCTGTTAATGAATTATTAAAAAAAAAATTCTTAAACATGTTCAGAACGCAACACAAGTTTTCTCCATAGTTTTACATGCCGCCCTCGGAATCCTAGTAACTGATTATTTTGTATTGAAAAATTTAACAGACTAACATGACATGCGAGCTGTAAATTCAACTTCCTGTATAAATATTATGAACGTTATTCAAGGTATAACTCGCCACTCGGGCACCGAGCACCTGTTTTGATGTGACAATTATGACGTTAATATCAAAGTACAACTACGTAAAAAATAAAGCTGTCGAATTCTATACCTATACTCTTACGAAATGTTACCGAAATTCACTCATAAATAATATACGTTTAAAATTTCTTTTTAAAGACAACACTTCCATTGAATCCAGTGTCTCCAATCTTACAGATGTACAATGAATTTCTCATTTAATTTTCGAATATTAAAAAAATTAATTTTTCAGTTTTTTAATATATAATTTTTTTTCAAAATTATTTATTCTATTAATTTATTCATGCATTACCTCTGACTTCGCACAAGTGTGCAAAATTTTAGATCAATTAGACAGGTATAAGCATGGGTATAAGTGTGTCAAATATTAGTTATAAGATTTGTAGCTGACAAAAATTATTTTTCCAATTTTTTTAATATTGAAAAAAAATTTTTTAATTTTTAAAATTATTTACTTTGACATTTGATTCATGCATTATCTCCAACTTTACACAAGTGTGCAAAATTTCAGATCGATAGGATAAGTAGAAGTGTGTTAAATTTTGATTACAAGATTTGTAGCAGACAGACAGACAGATAAACAAACAAACAAACAAGAAGTGAAGTTAAAGAGAAAAAGAAGTGAAGTTAAAGAGAAGTGTTGTAATATTGTAAAGAAGCTCAAGTTATGAAGAAAACAATTTAGTTTGAGGTACGGGTCACAACCGACGAATATACATTGAAAATTTTTAAAGAAATAGAATAAAGTTTCTAGTATGTTACAGTTTTAAAAGTGCATCAAAATATAGTCAACTGATTGACGAACGACTAAAAAAAACAGGAAGAAAAAGCAAGGTAAATCAGGATATGCTAGAAAATAAGTCTATAATAACATACATGATCATATTATAACGTTCCTTTGTTAGGTTATTGCTGCACTTGACTTCTGGGCTGCTCACACAGCGTGCTAGATTCAACATATTTTGTAACGTGGGTTAATCGCATGGTTGAACTACATATACCGACTTTATTTGGTTGGCGATTGCTATATAGGCGCCAGCAGCAGCTTCCGGCGCATCCTGTTCGCGTGGGCAACGAATTCGTCATGCCTGCGTCTTCGGTTCGCAACCTCGGCATTCGCTAGATTCGGCACTTTCTATGAATAATCACATCGCCAAAGTCACCCCGCTAGATCTACTAGTTCAACCATGGGTTAATCGTATCGTACCTCCTTAATTACTATTAAAAGTATAATCACATTTAGATAGTGTGTTGATAATAAGGCATACGGAAATATAGTGAAGCTAATCAACTTTGGTGATCTATACTTAATTAGTGAAAAAATATAATCAGTTAATCACTTTAAAATAATAACAATCTCTGAATGAGTAAAGATGTTCCACGCATTTTAAGAATGTCATAGAGAGAATAACAAGTTCAAGCCACATACGATATATACATCTTATAGATGAATGTTAAGGCTTTCAATTCAATTTTTGACTTCTGATCATTCAAATTAATCAAAAATTACAATGAATAAATCGGGCAGCGAATTTTGAAAGACATTTCAGAAAAATAGACCATAGTTTCCTTTCATGAGCCCAGTGAATGAATAGCTATTACCTCCAATTGAATAGTTACACTCTCACCGCAAAATTAAGTTGCGCACTGGACAAAT